GCAAAACAAAAGGATGCAAAGAACAATGGACCCCCGGGAGAGCTGAGTACAATGAGGAGGCATTTTTGGGTGGGAACAAGAGGAACCACGCGCAGCAGGGACGCTGCCTGGCCCTGGGTAGGAGAGGCAGGGTTCTCCATGATGGAGAAGGTCCAGCGACGTTCAAGAGCTGCTCCACAGAGGGACATGGGGCAGGAGCCAGGCGAGGTGTGTGCTGTACGAAGGTGCTGGGGTGGCTGGTGAAATAGTTTTCATCCCCATAGCATTAAAGAAGGGTGTTCAGACATTAAATCATCGGATGACAGAATGGTTTGGGTGGGAAGGGACCTCTAAAGGTCATCTAGCCCAACCCCCCTGCCGTGGGCAGGGACGTCTTCAACTAGAGCAGGTTGCTCAGAGCCCCGTCCAGCCTGACCTGGAATGTTCCCAGGGATGGGGCATCCACCACCTCTCTGGGCAACCTGGGCCAGTGTCTCGCCACCCTCAGCGTAAAACTACATGTTCTTAAATCTGTTTACTTGCCTGCTGGAGTTTGAAAAACTGAATAGACGGGCAAATAAATAAGCAATAGGAAGCACCCGATTGCATAAATAGACGGTGTTAAGTACAGCCATTTATTTTCAGTGCCCCAAAAGAGCAAGAGGGAGGTCAAGTCGTGCCAGTTTGTTGAAGTGGAATAATGTGGGTATGTTTAGGCTGCCCCATATGACCCAGCCCCTTCTGAAATAAAGAACTAACGGAGAATGTATTTAAATAAGTCGATACCATTAATTTCAGCCTACAGGGCATTACAGAAAGCAGGGCCTGCTGGAGATCCATGGCTTTATAGAGGTGATGGTGATTTTGATGGGTAGCAGTGGGAGTGTCAAGGCAAAGGGGTTTTTCTACCAGCACCATCTCCTGCCTGAAGGCCCCACGTGTCCCAGGATGAGCAGTGAAAACTCCGCATGACGCAGCCATGCTCCTGGGTTGAGGTCAAGTTCTTCCCTCCCCTGCGGCACCCCAGCACAGCAAAGGTTGGGCTGCTGAAAACCACATGCTTAAACAAAACAGATGCTTTCCCACCGCGAGCAAAACTAAAAGCCACCCTGGAGACATCTGCGGTGGGAGCCACCGAGGAAAGGTCTCCCATTTCGTCACCCTGACTTTGCCCCAAGCATCCTCTCCGAAGGGAAGGGGTCCCACACCAGAGGCCCTGGAGCAAAACTACTGCTGACACGAAATGTCTTTCTTCCCCCACGCCGGCTCCAGCATGGCTCAGCCGAGGTCCCCTGTGCAGGGGCAGCTCCGACAACTTCCATCTGCTCTGGTTTTATCGGCACACTGGGAAATAACCCACACTAGGGCCCCACCTCAGTTCTGTTAACCCTGGAAGGGACATGGAAGCTGCCCGCTCGGGGCATCTCTCGGTGGGATGGGGGTTGGAGCTGCCCTTCCTCCTTAAAATCAGCTGCTACAGTGCAGCCCCCCCAGTCCTCTGCCACCATCTCATCTCATCTCATCTCATCTCATCTCATCTCATCTCATCTCATCTCATCTCATCTCATCTCATCTCATCTCATCTCATCTCATCTATCATCTCAGAAAACTGTCCCAAGGGACATCGGGGAGGTCAAGGGCATGGACAGGCTAAGAAGGGAACTAAGTTTCATGGAGGATGACCATGGGCGACAGACAGTCTCATCTGCTCCGTAAGAGCTGGAGGCTGGGAGAACACAGCCGGGAAAGACACATGTTGTCCCTTTCCCTAATGCCTGGGGTTAGAAACGGGGCTTGGGGATGGGCAGATTGTCAGGCTGATCCCGTTTGTTGGCTCCTAGGTTTTGGCATTCATCCTTCAGAGCTATTCCCACGGTAGTGAGCCCTGTGGGTCCATCAGCCACCAGAACACCTCTTGGCTACATCCAGGCAGCTCCATAAGCAGAGATGGTCCCATTCCCAGGGACAGCTCCTGGGCTGGGACACAGGGAGCAGCTGCAGTGGAGGATGCATGAGCACTGGGAGGGGTGGTTGGGAGAGGCTGAGCAGCGCTGCAGACACCGTGCCAAGCTGGTCCCCACCCCACAGTGCTTGAGGTTTGCACTCAGGAAAGAAAACCCCAGCCCAGATGCACCCCTGCTTCACCCTCCTGCTTGCACAGGGCTGGGCTGCTCACTGCATCAGCGGAGAAGAAAAACCCTCCAAAACCATCGGGATGAGGACTTTCATGATGTGCACAGATCTGACGGCCAGATGGGACCGTTGCAATCACCCCGCCAGACCCGCTGCGAGCCAGCACATCCCACCCAGCGAGTTGTGCAAGCAGCTCCGGGCAGGCGGTGGATGATCCCGGGCATCCTCCCTCCTGGTGACACCATTGTTTAAGACCCAGAGCCCCTCTGCGCTGCGAGGCCAAGCCCTCGAGACACACAAGCTGCTTGGCATCGTCGGCTGCCGGAGACGAGCCTGGGGCCCTCCCCAAGCTGCCATCACCAGCAGACAGCCTCAAAAAGCCAGAGCCCGGGGTAGCTAAGGTCTCGGGGGAAGGAAGATGCACCCCCGAGCAGGCAGCCCTGCATCGCCCAGGACTGGCTCTGCTGCTGCAAATCCAGCCAGGAGCATGGTGGATTCATCCAAGGACATTTGGAGCCGGGGTAAAGCCAGCTGAGCACAAGGCTCCTAAATTATCCACGACCCATGGCTGCCGACAGAAAGCGGGGAGGGAGGAGGGATGGGGAGAGAGGGAGGTGGGGGCTGCCAGGAATGTGTCGGGGCAGCGGCTGATAAATCAGGTGCTGGCCCATTGGGAGGGGATTTGTTTTGCTTTCTGCTCCTGTTAATTGGAGTGACATGGCGCATGGGTGTCGGGCTCCACGACAAGTCCCCTTCCTCAGTGGCTTCATCCAAGAGACGGTGAAGTCCTCCCCATGGCAGTGGGGGGAAGAGAGGCCACGGGGGTGGGTAGGCAGCTATGAAAACCTCGAAGCAGCGGGTGCAACATAGTCCCAGCAGCCCCGAACCAGGCATTGGGAGCCAACGTCCCCCAAGGACCGGGGAAATGACCCCTATGAGCTGCTGGTACCCAAGGGTGATGGTTGGCCTGGATGGGGAGATGTAGCTGCTGCGGTTCGAACCACATCTGTCCCCTCTCGGCTCAGCAGAAGGCTAGAGGGAGCAAGTGTTTTGGCGTCAGCCCCTTCCTTCCCCATCTGGTATTTCAGCTGGAAGGACCAGAAATGAGCAACAGCTCATTGCATCTCCGCAGGTGCAAACCAACAGCCTGCAAGTGGGACAGCAACTGTCCCCCAACCTCTTGCTCTGCCCCCAAGAGCTTGCACTGGGCTTTTCTGTGTTTCTTCATGGTTTTTCCCTCTCCCATGGCCAGTTCATTCGCTGGGACTGTGGTGGATGCCATGTTAAATGCTGTGTTAAATGCCATGACCATCAGGTCATGGCATTTAACAGCCATGGATGAGTCCTGCGTGAATTTGTCCGGCTCCTTTTGGACCCGCTTGGGTTTCTGCCTCCACAAAGTCCTGCAGCAAGGGGCTCCAGCTGGGTGAAAAGGTGGCATGTGGGAAAGGGCTGAGCCTCTCCTGGGCTTGCTGCCCACCATTTCATTGGGTTCCCCCTTGCTCTTGTGCCATAAATCGCGAAGATGCTCATGACTTTGCTGGTTCCCATCACAGCCCTGTTCGGCTGCCCCTGTTCCCGAAGAGCCTGACCCTTTCCCTTCCCCATCATCCCACGAAGCCAAGCTGCTCCCAAGGAGTGCAGCTCCCTTCGCTCCCTCTCCTGTTTTAGCCTCTAAGATCTTTGAAGCAAAAGCCACCTCTCCCTTGGTGCAGCACAGAGGGACCCTCCTCTTGCCGCTCCCCTGTCACATCAGGCAGCCGGACCGGGGCCCACCGCAGCAGACATGGGTTTCTCCAGTGCAGGCGTCTCCACCTGAGCTGGTCCCCTTGGAGCTGGGCTGTCCTGGGAGATCTAGTGCTGTGGGATGCAGAGAAGTGGGTGATCCCACAGCAGCAAGACAGTAAGATATGGAACAGCTGGAAATTCCTGACATCAGAGAGGAAGAAATGTCCAAGTAGATGGTTAACCCTGGCCATACAGCTACGCTCACGAGATAACGGTGTGACAAATGGCTGGACCTTGCAGATAATTAAGAAAAAGGGAGTACATGCTTAGCAGACTGCGGGGAGGGGGGGCAGATTACTGAGGCAACCATATTAAATACCGAAAAAAGGGGATCAGCAAAACTAGAGTCAATCGTCAAGAGTTAGCAGGGATGGGTTGTTTATTTCACCATGCTGAGGGTGGCGAGACACTGGCCCAGGTTGCCCAGAGAGGTGGTGGATGCCCCATCCCTGGAAACATTCCAGGTCAGGTTGGACGGGGCTCTGAGCAACCTGCTCTAGTTGAAGATGTCCCTGCCCACGGCAGGGGGGTTGGACTAGGTGACCTTTAGAGGTCCCTTCCAACCCAAACTATTCTGTGATTCGATGACTTGGGAGGGGCTGAGGGTGGTAAAGGAGGAGAAGATGGGAGGGGGGAAATGGAGTAAAGGGGATGTACAGTAAAGCGAATTATGTGATTGATGATGACTGAGGGAACTGGTGGGCAGCCTTCTGCTTGATCACTGCAGTACGAAGCAGGGCAAAAAACCCACCGTCTCTGCCGCGCTCGGTCTGGTTCACTTTCATGGTCAGGAGGGACCTGGCAGAGTTTTTTCCTGGCATCTTTGAGGGAACCTTGGGAGCTTTCTTCCTAACATGGATGGGGGAGCATTTGGAGAGTCCAAGAGTCCAAGGTGATGGAGACACCTGAGCACCACAGACACCTCAACAGTGGTGCCTGGTGGATTCGATATACCAAAGAGTACCTGAGACATCCCCACAGGACATCCCCATGCCACAGGGACCATTTCCACCACCACCCAAAGCACCAAGGACACCCCCCTCCTCACAACAGCTTCATGCACCAGCAAGGGAGCTGCTTATAAGAGATGCTCGGCTTACCGCGTATCATGGAGATGTTCTTCAGCGCAACGGAGTGCTCCCAGTCCTTCAGCCGCAGGTCCTCCGTCACGTTGTTGAGGATGGCCAGCTCGTGCTTCAGCTGCTCCTCCATGGCTATGTGGATGAGACGCATCTGCCGGGCATCTTCGGTGGCGTTGCTGATCAGCACCTGCAGGTCCTGGATGCGGGTATGGTGGATGTTCACGTCGTAGGAGAAGGTCCTGTTCATGGTGTCCATGGCCCCGTTCACGGCCATCACCTGGTCGCTCAGGCTCTCCACCCTGCTGCCCAGGTGGCTCAGGAGGTGGTCGTGGTGCTGCAGCAGCAGCCGGCTGCTGTTGCCTTCCACGGAGAGCTTGTACATCTCCTGCTGAGCTGCGTCGCTCTGCTGGGTCAAGCTGTCCCAGAGGTTGGACACCGCCTTGTCAGTTTGGCTGGCCTGGGTCTGCAGGCTCCAGAGAAGCCCTTCCAGCTTCTGCAGTGACCCCGTCATGAGGAACAAGGAGTCCGAGTGGTTCTGCAGGAGGTCCTGGAGCCTCCAGATGTGATCCAGCATGTCCCCCTTCAGGGGTAGGTGCAGCAGCTTCACCTGCATGTCCCTAAAGCTCTCGTTGAGGCGGTTGACGTTCCCCATCAGCGCCTTCAGGTCCTCGGGGGAAGTCTGTGGTCTGGAGACTGCAAGGGATGGAGAGGAGGGGGCATCAGAAGCCACCCCATGGAAGCGGGGACCCTCCTGAGAGATGCAACCCCGCCTCCTCCCGAGGAGCGCTTGGACATCCCCCTGTTCCTTGGTGCTTGGAGGTGGAAGCCCGACCTCAAACCCCAAAAGGTTTATCCCAACAGTCCCCCTCTGGCCCCATGGTTTTCTCCATGGTTGGAGAAGGAGGTTGAAGGTCTGGAGAAGGAGACACCTCGCTCAGGAAGGACAGCAAAAGCTCCCAGCAGCCCTGGGCTTCGGGGTGGCTCTGGGCTTTGCCCGATGGGTCACGGTGCTACAGAGCTCTACCTTGTGGCTTTGCCCGGCTTGTGTTTGCCTTTGGTCAGGGGACTGGCGGCTAAAAGCATCCGCTTCCCTTTCCTAAAAACAGACCTTAAAAACTGCTAAATTCCCCCACTGAGGTTTTAATTTTAATTTTAACAATCAGGTTTCCCTTCTGGCTGCGGATCCCGGGCCTGAGCTCAGCCCCTTGCTCCATAATGAAGACCATCAGGCTGGCTCGGCAGGTCTCCACGGCGCTGGGTGCGGTTTGCTGTCAGCCTCTAAGTACCGCATCCCGCATCCCGGGGCTGCCAGGGCTCTTCCCAAGGGAGGGAAGGAGGGAGGAAACCCACCCCGGCTGAGGAGCATCCACATCCCTCATCCCGGGGCTGCCAGGGCTCTTCCCGAGCGAGGGAGGAAACCCACCCTGGCTCAGGAGCAAACCCACCCTGGCTCAGGAGCATCCTTCACCCCCCACCTCTGCAATCCTGGCGGGAGAGAGTTCCCGGCCATCCAGGCACCCACCCCAAACTCCTCCTGGCCTCGCGCCGGCTCCCAGAGCACCGAGATGGGGTTCGGAGAGGGAACCTGGAAATCTGGG